AAGCTGAGAGGCCGGCAGCGAGGGGGAATGTTGGAGTCCTCCGTCACTGAAGCAAGCAAGCCTCCTGTTAGCTTTAAGCTGCCTGGCTGCCGGCCGCCATCTTGGTTGGCAGTTAATTTGCATATCGCCCTGATTAGCCAATGGGAAGGGTAGCAGATGTACAGCTAATTACCACTTTTCTCTTTTATTAGATAGGATGCATTACCTATGAACAAAGACAATACGATGGTGAAGGCCTGGGATGGAGTGGGAACCGGGTAGTGGGGGTCAATGGGGGAGAAAAGGGAGAGTATCTGTAATACTGGCAAAAATAAAGATATTTCTTAAGTTCTATAATGCTATGGAATGAATAACAAGAACTCCTTTACTGTTTCTGCTTTCCAGTTTGAAGAACAATTTTTGGCAAGTCCAGAAGACTTGGAAAAGTTAAGAAATGGTAAGACTATGTATCTAAATTGCTGTGATGAGGGTATCTAAAAAGTCAATAGTGAGGTTTGAACACCAAGCAATGCCTATTTGTGTGTATGGTGGGAGCTGGTGGGGGGGTGGGGGATGGGGCAGGGATGGACAGGAAGAAAAGTGGTTGAAGTGGTTGAGCAGGTCTTATCACTCACTTAGGATACGAAGGGCTTGAACTCTCTTGTTCTTGAACTCCTCCTGTTCATACTGTCAAGGCCACTTGACAGTATGAACAGGAAGATAAGGAGAAAGAGCCAGCAGCATTGGAGTCTGGAAAGCAGGGCCTGCCTGCACCCACTGACCAGTGCTGGAGTTTGAAGAGCACACAGAGCAGCTACATAGAAATCTCACCTAGAATTCGCCTTAATGCCACGAACCCCACAAGACTTACTTTGGGAACTCCTCATTTGAAATGGCATCTGGCTGGTGGCCCTTGGCAGCCTCTCTCCAACTTCTTTCTAAATTATCCATGAAGATAAGTCAACTAAAAACACAGGCAACTACTATGTATCTGGATGGGACGTGTAAAAAGATAAGTGAAATAATAAGTTAAAAAAATAAAAGGCAGATTGTGAAGAAAAAGGTTACAGGAAGCGGAAACCCAATACTATTTCTATTAAAATGTTACCAGGCCATAGTTTTTTGCTTCCATTCATATCTTTAGTTATTTCAACAAACATCTTTTCATTCTGTGAGTGTGAAGACATTTCACTCTACTTTTTCTTTTCTCTTTTCAAAAGATGGGTCTTTGATGTTCCAGCAAGTGCCCATGGTGGAAATCGATGGTATGAAGCTGGCACAGACCAGAGCCATTCTCAACTACATTGCCGCCAAATACAACCTGTATGGGAAAGACATAAAGGAGAGAGCCCTGTAGGTATTTTTTCTGTGTTTTTCATCAACAATTAATAACAATTTAGATTCTTCCTTGAATGAGCTGGATTGTGCCGGGGGATCATGACCAGCAGCAGCATATCCCTTGGAAGTAAAGGCTGAGGTCCAGGCCAGCAGGGAGCATGAGGAGGAGGATTCCACTTCTTAGAGAAGAAGATTCAGTCCATGGCTGTAGCACTGGCAGTGACAGAAGTTTCCAAACACTGGTGAACTATGAAGCCAGGAGGGTGGTGGAGTCATGACTCCGGGTACTCAGGCTATTAAAGAAGAGGCTGAGGGAGGAGCTAATCTTCAAGTTCTAGAAATTACAGGAATAGTTACCAGGAACCTAATTTATCAGCCAGTTGTGTGGCCTGGCCACTTGACAAAGGTTTGTAAAGGTTGGTGCCCAAGATGCTACGGTTACCTGGAGCATTTTGATGTAAGTACTGAAGCAGCCAGATTTATTCAATACAACTACATCTGGGGAGGGCTCTCCTCCCTGTTGTGATGGGACCACATGGTTGAAACTAAAATCGTGTAAGGAACTATCTACCCAAAAGCGTTAAACATAGATTTACCATGTCAGCACCTCCACTACTAAGCATGCAAGTACCCAGAAGAATAAAAAATACACTCAAACTTCTACAAAAATGTTCATAATAGCATTGTTCATAATATTCAAAAAGGGGAAATGACAAAAGTGTTCATCAACTGATGAAGGATGCGCAAAGTGTTGTAAATCCATAGAATGTAATATTATTTGGCCATGAAAAGGAATGACAGTGGATAAGCCTTGAAAACATTACGTTGCATAAAAGAAACCAGACATCAAAGGCTCATGTTGTATGATGTCATTCAGATGAAGTGTCGAGAACATTTCTTTTCATAGAAACAGAAAGCAATTTTGGTTTTCAGGGGCTGGGGGACGGTAGGGTGGGGGTGGAGGGGGGCAAACCCTAGGTAGCATCTCACTGGGTACTTGCAATGACTCCACCATTTCTCCATGCCTGTGACTCTGGACACCTCACTGATGTTCTCTGTCAGTATATTTGGTCATGGGCATAACAAAAATTTTAGACGTAGATATCCACCTTGCTATGAAATGTTAAAATTTGGTGAATATCACAGCTGAATGGCTGGCATATAAAAATACACCCAGTAGAGTTGCCCTCTCCTGTTTCTCCATTCTCTTACATTTTAAAACTATAACATGTAAGGCAGGTGACAGTTGACAATTGGGTCATTTTTAAAAAGGAAAACCTCTTATAGGAAGCCCAGTTAGGCACACTAAAAACGTATCTCCGGGAATATGCACTGGTTGTCTTTCAGGATTGATATGTATTCAGAAGGTATGGCAGATTTGAATGAAATGATCATGCATTTGCCACTATGCCCACCCCATGAAAAAGATGCCAAGATGACCCAGATCAGAGAGAAAACAACAAATCGTTACTTCCCAGCCTTTGAAAAGGTAAGTGGGCTGGTCAGTGTTTGGGGAACTGAGACTAGAGGACAAAGAGAACTGGTACCTGGGCAGTCCTGCGTCTTTGACCTTCACTTCAGATGAGCCCTCCTGACTACTGATGGAGCACCCTGACTCTCCCAGCCTATTATCAAAATCAGCAGTGGGGAGGACATGTACCAGTTATACCCAAGTTATAATCTGTCAGCAAAATTTCTCTCTTTTTTAAACAAATATATTTTTGCTGCTTTCAGAGTGGAAGGGAGAGGGAGAGAGAGATAGAAACATCAATGATGAGAAAAAATCATTGATTGACTGCCTCTGCACGACCCACACTGGGAATTGAGCCTGCAACCAGGGCATGTGCCCTGACCATAATCCAACCATGACTTCCTGTTTCACATCAACCACTGAGCAACACCGGCTGAGACAAAAGTTCAATTTACTAGGACCTGATTTAGATTCTCTATTTGATGGCATTTGATGGCCACATTTAGAGTGTGGGCTGTGGAAGGCTCTGGGAGTCAAACCAGCGATTGGAGTAGATTTGGCAGAACACCATGAAGGGGCTTTTCATCCAAGAGAAGCAGGAAGAAAGCAACTTATCAGAAAATATGCTGGCAACATGCATAGGAAACATGAGACCAATTGCCCAACAGTGTTTCTGGGATGGATGAGAAGTATCTAAACAGAGATGGGGGCAGTGGGATGGAGAGGATGAGACAGATGAAAAGATGTTAAGGAACAAACAATCTACAAAATATATTGTCAGACTTTAGAGGAAAGCTATGCAAACTAAGGAAATAAAGTTCCATGATTTTGTATGTAGTGCAGACCATAAATTTTCCCTTTGAAGGTAAAAAAAGATTTCAAGATCCAAATGTCCTGAGATCAAACTAAATAAAAATTATGAACCAAAAATGATTGTAAGGCTACCGGAGGCTCCCGTATAAAAAAGGCTTAACACTAACACTCTCATCTTTATAAAGCATTAAAAAGCACTTAAGAAACATTCTTTCATTCTACAAATTTTAATTCATTACTTGTGTGTTCGTCCATATTCAAAGAGTGAAAAATTTAATAGTAATCTAATACTACACCCTCCTGGGCCTTGTGGTGCTGAGAGTTTAGGGGACATTCACTCAATGACAAGGTCAGTAGGCACTGCAGTTAGAGTATACTGATACTTTGAAATCAAGCAGCTCCATGATAACATCAGTTAAAAATGTATATTACAAAATAGGGTTTTTAAAAAAATATCTTTTTATTGATTTCAGAGAGGAAGGAAGAGGGAGAGAGAGATAGAAACATCAATGATGAGAGAGAATCATTGATTGGCTGCCTCCTGCACGGGGATCGAGCCCGCAACCCTGGCATGTGCCCTTGACCAGAATCGAACCTGGGACCCTTCAGTCTGCAGGTCGATGCTCTATCCACCAAGCCAAACCGGCTAGGGCACAAAATAGGTTTTGACCTTATCATATTCTTTACCAAATAATTATCCATTCTTTTATATGCATACACGATCTGAAAGTGTATTTGCCAATGTGTTATTATGTTTAGTTGGTGGTGCTATGTGTGTTTATTCTCTTTATACTGTATGATTGCTGAAATCCTATCTAATAAAGACAGAATATGCAAATTGACCATCACACCATCACAAAGATGGTGGTGCCCATAGCCACAAGATGGCGGTGCCCAGTCCCCTCAGCCCCGCCGGAGTCCTCCAGTCATTTCAGCATGGCAGGTGCACGGTGTGGTTGGACCCTCCATCAGCCCCCCAGCCCCCAGGGCCACCTGAGGCTCAGGTAACCTGGACTGGTCGAAGCTTGCGCTGCTGGCAGTGGCAGCAGCAGAGGTGTGATGAGGGCGTCACATTCCCCTGATGGTTGGGTCATGTCCCATCCCTGAGGGCTCCTAGACTGTGAGCAGGCCAGGCTGAGGGACCTCCCCCCACCCCCCCACCCCCCCACCCCCCACTCCAGTGCATGATTTTTCATGCACCGGGACTCTAGTATTTTAATAAATATCATACATTTCCCCAAAACTTTTATTATGAAAAATTTTATACAGTCAGAATAATTAAACTCATATGAACACAAAATGGGTATACAAACATTAATCTTTCATTATGTTTGCTTTATCATGCGTTTCTATCTCTCAGTCCCTCTCTCTATCAATCAGACATTGTTTTTGGATAAATTACAAAGTGTGTTTCAAGTATCACTGCAGTTCACATATTTCAGCAGCAGATCATGACATAGTGCAACCTAGGAGACAGAGCCCATATTGCAAGAGAGATGGTGAGTTCAAGTTGACCCAGGTTTGCATGAGGTTCCAAAGAGATAGATCAGGAAATGAGTAGAGCAGACAGAAATGAGTAGAGGAGAAATGTAGCTCTGATATAGTCTGCTTGGGATTGAAGAAGGATGTCCTAGAGATGGATCTTTGCCCAAGTGAGAGAGGAGACAGAGAGAAGGAAAGAGAGAGAGAGAGAGAGAGAGAGAGAGAGAGAGAGAGAGAGAGCCATGTGCTAAAGTTCAGGGCTTCAAAGGGTAGGGCAAGGAGCCAACAGACACACAGCCAGTGCTAGCCCTGGGCCAGACCAAGATGCACAGAGGGAGCGCCGTTATATGGGAAAAGGAAAAAGAGATGGTAGCCTGGGCATCAGCTAAGGAGTGAGGTGAGAACAGCAGAGACCGTCTTCTCTCTGTTTCACTGAGTCAGGGGCAATGAACATGGTTTGATGCTCCTCACGTGCCCAGTTAGGCAGCACAAGTGGGAAGCCAGGCTGGAGAGACCTTATCATATTCTTTACCAAGTAATTATCCATTCTTTTAACCAGGAGCAGGGGACCCAGCCTGAGTGCACCTGTGTTCATAACCTGCTCTTTCCAATTCATCAGGTGTTGAAGAGCCACGGACAACACTACCTGGTTGGCAACAGGCTCAGCAGGGCTGACATTCACCTGGTTGAACTTATCTACTATATTGAAGAGATTGACCCCAGCCTAATGGCCAACTTCCTGCTGCTGAAGGTGACCCCTTTCACAGCCCTGGGGAGGGAAGGTCCACATCCCCCATCTTGGAATCTAATATCTGGGCTCTTGGACTGGCTATGTTATGATCACATCATTTTCCAGGCTCCGCTGCCCCCAGGTCTCCAAAAGTTGCTTTAGGCCCTGGTCTGAGGCAGGAAATGAATCTTTTTCTGCCAAAGAAATTGGAGGCAGACACCACCCCAAAGAGAAGAGTTTGTCTTTCACAATGAGAAGAACCCAGGGCTCAGCGTCTCTGTCCTCAGCTCCTGCTCCTTCTCTCAAGCACTGTGCTTCCCTCCCGACTGTCCCTTTCTCTTTCTGTCTCTCTCTCTCACAGGGAAGATTGCTTTTGACTGTCTGCATGGTTGACCTATATTTTCTATCTTCAGTTCCAGCCCAGTTGTCCCACATATTCATTTCTCCAGTTTGGAGCCTTTACCTGTGTAGCTCTGACAGTCACATTAGTCTTCCTTGTCTGCACTAAAGTGAGAACCCACAGGATTTCCATGTGGGGAGGAAGACACGGAAGACTGTGAACTGAATCAAGTCTTAACTGTGTCTCTGGGGGAAGATGAAAGTTATTGAACTGTGTTTCCTTCCCCTTATCTTCCTTTCTTGCTTGTTGTCTGTTTCCCAGCCCCCTGCTGGTGCTGATGGAGGGGACTCCATTGGTCTGTCCTCAGATCCCCTGGCCAGTGTAATGAGTGGTGGGTGTTGTGTCTCCATCTGAGGCTGTGCTTTGTGCATTGCAGGCCCTGAAAACCAGAATCAGCAACCTCCCACCTGTGAAGAAGTTTCTGCAGCCCGGCAGTCAGAGGAAGCCTCCTGTAGATGCGAAAGCATTAGAAGAAGCCCGGAAGATTGTAAATAAATAAAATCTTTATTTATTTTTATTTTAAATAAAGCAGGCATGGATGCCCAGCGCATGTAGGACCAATCTTCTGACGTTGTCCAACAATAAAGTGCCTCTACCTAGGTGTAGATCCTGGCTATTGTGAGAATAATAAACTTTTCCAAAATAATTAAACCTCCTATGAGCAGATTTAGTTATAGTTTAATCTTGTTCATTAAGTTCCAATATGTAACCAGATTTTCAATCTCCTATTGCATTTCTCTTGGAATTCAAAATTAAACAAAAAATGGAAACGTGGATTATGACATCTCTCTTCTTTTCCAGGAATTGTCACATGTCCGTCACAGAGCCCATCAAAGAGTCAAGTATAAAATTCATATCTGACGTTTTCAGTTGTTCACAGAAAATAGCTACCCGTCTTGGTAATGGCATAAGAATTTTTTTTTTTTTTTTTTTTACCTAGGAGCTGTTTTCCTTCTGGTAATAAAAATGTTTTGTTTTTTGTTATGAGTTTGATTCTCATGCAATACAACAGTGATATGCCTACTACAGACTTTTTAGTGCATCTCCATGTGCCTACGAGTGACTGAAGGACTTATCTTCCTGTCTTGGGTGTCGCTTTCCCAGCCTCATGCTGGTGCTGATGGAGGGGGCTCAATGGGTTCTTTCCGGGGGGGTGGGGGGGCAACAGACACACAGTGTGTCCTAGGGGGTGGGGAAATGATTTACAAATAAACAGACCCAAGCTCTGCTCTCTGTTGACTCTGTTGTCCTTACAGTCCATGACTCCCTGGCACATCAACGCTCTGCTGCTTAATGCTCGGTGGGGCCCCTGGCTGAGCTTTCTCTCAGATGACTCAATGTTGCTCAGACCTGGACTTCCAAGGTACAGATTACATGTATAAATTATAGTTAATGAATGCATATAATATCTTTTTTTCTATTTTTCTGGCCTGTCACTCTGCCAGAGTGGCTGGATTAGAAGTGATTTCTAACTTCAGCCACTCTCAGGGCTCAGAATGAACACCCTCCCAGAAAATCTGGGCTTTGGGCTTTGGCATATTGAGTTTTTCTCCCCACAAGGAGCTACCTCATAACGTGGGGAGGGAGCTGACAGACACACGGGGCTCCCTGTCTGTAGCTTCAGTTCCACCTCGTCTGCTGTCTCCTTGCAACCAAAATGGTTTTCCTAAAATGCACATTTGAGTATCACCACCTTCTTTAAATCCTTCAGTGAGTTCCAGGCCTGTGGGAATTTCTCCTCCCATCTGTCCTCACCCCCTCCTTCCCACCTGACCATGCTTAACACCTCACCTCAGTTGTTTCTCTGTGCCTCTCACAGAGCCCTCTAAACTACTAACAAAGCTGAATGCCACTGTGCCTCCTCCACTCTCCTGTGAGGACCTGGTGTGCAGGCCTGGT